CCTAAGTGCCAGGAACTAGTGCCTGACTCGGCCGGCCGGGTACATGAAAGAACGGGCTCGCCGACCGATCGAGAATGATGTGATATGTACATACATATAATGCGCAAATTATGTAAGCGTGTATGGCGGATTATCGGCGCGTGTAGGTATGGATTTACAGAGATAAATATGGGAGTAATTATGTACAAAACGCTTGCTGATATCAGCAGGAGTTAAGTCCATACCCTTTCGCCTCCAGAGTCCAGGAGTCTTCAGCCCTTTGAAAGGGGGGTTACCGATCTCGCTTAATAGACACGACTCACGAGCTAGTGTTTTATCTTCCAGGTACTTCCAGACTTGTTGAACTGATGAGGAGTCTGATATGAAATACCCAGCTTCTTCAAAAACCACCACCACCACCACTACTCATCCACATTCACCCAGATCTATCTTCTCGGGACCCTTCACGAAATCAAGCCCGATTCGAGCTGCGTCTCGCCGTCGAAGATGACCACCCCATTCCTATTTCCCTCACCATCCAGTTCGCCATCCAATCATACTGCTTCCGGTTCGAATTCATCCACTTCGACATCCTCCTTATTCTCCTCGAGCAGGACGGTGAAGCCTCCGCCGATTTCGTGTACCCCGAGTCTCAGGAGGTCATCCAACCAGACCCAGCCGAGCATCTCGACGATTCTGAACCCGGACGCGAACTCGAACTCGGCCGGACGACGACTGGAGCTCGAGGAGAGATCGGACTGGGATGCCCGGACTGGCAGGGCCGATGGCCTAGCCATGAGACTCAGCCGGAACTCCCCAGCACTGCCCTTCCTCCGCGATGGTGGCCGAGACCGTTGGGGTAATCGTTGGGGGATCGAGAATCACGTGTTAAGTCCGGTGATTAGGTAAGCAAAGCCCTGCCAGGTCTTTCGGGGGCAAAAAACTTGGATTACCTAAGCCGCGATCTGTCCCCTCCCCTTTGACCATCAACCGACGATCGGATCGTCATACGGGTGGTTGAACTCATTGCCATTGTCATATCACAGCAAAACATTCATTCCCCTTGACATATAACTACTATGAGCAATGCAGGCTGACTAAAGACCCATCCCACCCCATCCTACTCCTACTACCACAGTGAGCTCACCGAACCAACCCACACCTCAGTCTCATCCCCAATCTCAACCGGCTCCATCTCAACTCACTTGAGCCTATCCTCCTCAACCTGCCCATTCCAACCACATGAACAATTAGAACAACAACAACAGCAACAACAACAACAACAGCAACAAGTATCTTCAAATCCAATGATGCATGGGGACTATCCAAGAACCGAACACTCAAATCATCTTCATCAGACCAACAGTCTCTCCCCATCAAACCGAACTGCGACCTCCTATTCGATCACCTCCACTCGATCACACCAATCCCCAACTCGTCTGACTAATCATTCAGGATCGACGAATTACCAGTCAACTCGCTCCCGTGCCGACAGTCTACAATCTCAATCAATCACCACCAATCCTAGCCCAAACCAACCATCGTTTGTCTCTGCAAAAGACCATCAAGATCCATCACCCTCACCTAACAATCAATTCTCCAACTCCTCTCAGATATCCAAGGCTGACTCTCATCATCCTCAATCTACATCGATCGAAAACCATCCAGTCCATACTCACCATCAACATGCTATCAGCTTACTCAAACGTAAAAAAATCAAAACCCACATCTCCAATCGTCAGCGAGATCTAGACGTCGCTAATCGACAGATCACTAAGAGAATCGAAAAAGAAAAAAGAGATCAAGTGGGCTCTTTCATTTATGGCTAATTAGCAGCAGTAATCAACAAAAAAAAAAAAAACACCAGCAGCTGATTATTTGATTTGCTTATTCTTTCATTTTGTTTGGTGAATCAGTTGATCAGATCAAGAGACGAAATAGTCTCACAACTGATGGAAAATCCGAACGATGCTAAACTCGTCAGAGATCTTGGGAAGCTTTATCTGAGATTCAATGAACCCGATCAGAATGATACTAGGCAAGGCAACGTTTCTCGCAGGATCGGAAATAGTCGCGCGTCTCCTAGAAGCGAACCCAGCTTGAAATTGGCGATTCACTACCTAGAACAAAGTATTCAGATAGGTAAATTCACATGATTGTGTATTTTGCGCGGCGGGGGCGGGTTTTGTTTTGCATCGAGTTGAAATTGACTGACTCCTCTTTGCAAACATTTCCAGATACCCGAGATCCACTCACATGGCTCTTTTTAGGAAGAGCATGGTCATTATTGCTGGTATATCCGACCGAAAACGAAAACGAACGAGAACAAAGACTATCAAATTCCTCTCTAGCCTTCAGAAAGGCGATCCACATTTCATCCAATCTGACCGGTTCAAATCTTCAAAACATTCGACAGACCAATCGATTCAGACTAGCCTACGCCGAACACTTGGAAGGACTAAATAAGTATCAAGAGGCGGCAAGCGTTCTGCAGGATGCATTAGGAATCGATGAAACTGACGTAGAATGTTGGTGGGAGTTAGGTCGGATGATGGAACTGTGGGCTCTAGATCAAGAAGCACAGTCTCCCACCACCAAACTAGAAAGAGTCGAGAGAATGAGACGTGCTTGCGAGGCTTTCAAGAAAGCCACTGAACTTGAACCAGAAGACATGATACTCCGTCAAGGCAATCTAGATGGAGAAAAGGCTTTAGTGAAGTTGACAACTGAATTGCAGGCGGAAGAGGAATTCCGGGCAAAGTCTTTGAAAGCGGAGGAAGAGATCAGACTAGCTGCTGATAGAATGAGAGGCTTGAATCTCTCTCCAGTTGGTACCAACAAAGCAACAGAGCTCATGCCGGTCAAGTCTCAACCACCCACAACCAACCTCTCGTCCGTTTCGGCGCTCAAGAAATTGGTTTCGGATCTGAGAGAAATCCCAGAATTCGGCCAAAAGGCACGGCCCCCTCGGCCCGTTGTTGAGGATAATAAGCAATCGATCGAAGAGCCAGTGGTCAAGACTGAAGATCAGATTTGTACAACTCAGGTCGAATCAGTTATTTCAAGTTCTCCCGCACCCTCTTCCGGTGCTAATCACACTCGAGCGCCGACCGGGGAAATCGATGGGTCATCTCTCACCCGGAATACTCCCTTACCTCATGTGATACAAGAAAACTTAGAAGTTAGTGTGATTCTTTCCTTATCGGTCCCTCCTCGCACATTTGGATATTCAACAGTTTGCTAATTGAGATGAACTTGCTTTTTAGGCACCAGAGCCATCTCATTTATTGCCACCGATTTCTAAGACCCTCCAGCCCAAGAATCCGGCGCGATATTTAAATCAAACAGGCTCGACCAGCGTTGACTCATCGCCCCAGGAGGACTTGTCTCCACCAAGTACCCAATCACAAGACGATGCAAAGATGATGTTGATGAATTTGAGGACTGGATCGATCGAGCCTCCTCTCGAATTATTAGATCATCAAGACGAACAGCCATCGATGACTCAAGTGATAACTAACCAAAGTCATGATTCCCAGCTTTATTCATATCAACCGCCCTCCCCAAGTGCCCTGCCCACGTCGATGATGCAATCCTTGTCGGCTCGTCTCGGTACACCCAAGGCACATCTGATCTCCTCGCCCAAAAGCAGTGTCAGCAGCAACTCAAGATCTTGTAGTAATGGTAGTCAAAAGGCGCGAGAATGGCATCAGCGTAAGATGAACTCACAACACGATCCCGTCGAGCCAGGCTTGATCACCAATCAGCCACCTTCTACTACCTCTCATTCGCCCGCCCCTCCTTGTCAATCTCCTGCTCATGATCGTCCACGATCTCTTAAGGCTCAGCTTACTGAGATCATCAGAAGCAGCCCGGTAAACTTTCGTGACACTGATTCAAATCATCAATCTCAGCAAGCTCCTTCAATATCTGCTTCAAGCGAGACTCATCATTCACCATCCGGTGGGGATCACAGTCTCTCCTGTGACCAACCTGAAAATCAACTACCAAACGGAGAATATCATCAATCAGAGGACCGCAGCTCTCACTCGCCCTCTTCTCATCCTCATCATCATCACTCGCCTCATTCTCAGACCCATTTCCATCACCACCAACCCCATGTATCTGTTCTCAAAAAACCGACGATTGGTAACAGCAACGGCATATTTGTCAGTTTATCATCTGTTTTTTTTTGTGGTTCGTGATCGAGAGAAAAGAAAGAAGAAAAAACTGAAACGATATGTTTCTTTTTGATAGTCGCCATTAAGTAAGGAACTAACAGTCGATCTCGACCCGCCGAGAAGCTCGCCCCCGCCACCAGATATACCTCCTCGACCAGCCAGTCTTTGCATCCAGAGCACTAGACCTCCTTCGCTCCCTCATCCTCATCATCCTTCTTCATCAATCTTGTATAACAAAGATCAACAATACAACTCTCACTTTATTGATCATAATCCACATCATTCATTCCCTGCTCCTCCTCGTCAAAATGGGACAATGGATGTTAATCAGTCCATTAACGGGCATCACCAATCCGTGAGTATTCCATCTCTTTTTACTCATTTCCTCATCGAAATCAACTCTCATTTAACTTTGGGGGGCAGGTTGTTGGGTCGATACCTCAAGAAAATCATCATATCCGACGTCCGAACACTTCTTGCTTATCTCCCCGATCTCCCGTCCGACAATCCGCAACCCCAAGATATACACATTCCCCAACTACTACTAGTACCACTAAGTCTAGTAATTGTAGACTTTCATCTCCTCCTTCACTTGCTCATCAAGCTGCTTTTATCCAAGGTGATCAGTCTACTATGGCCTGCAATTATGCTTTGATCGATGCTCATCTACAATGTATGTTACTTTCCTTTCTCTGATTGTGCGTTTGTTTGTTGATTGATTGATTGATTGATTAATGCCCCTTTCAAAAAAAAACCCTTTTTTAATGATAATAGCGATTTTAGAGATTGATTTAAAACGAAAACAAGAGTTGAAGGAGATCAAGAGACAGATCCGAAAGACGGATGAATGGGCAGAAAGCCGACGACGAACAGTGATAGAAGAGATCCGACGAGTTTGTACGCCGGTGAGCAGTGGTAGTGTCTCGGTCCATCCACATACACCTCATCAAAGTGGAAGTAGTCACAGTCGGAGTCTCAGTCGTGGCCAGCCAACCGAGGCGATCATGAGTCCTAAGCCGGTCGATAAGCAGCGGCTCAATGAGTGCCAGACAAAGCAGAATGGGATGGATGATTCTCCTCGTCTCAAACGGACTCCTGAGTATCCTGTCAATCTGGGCGAGTCTGTGGGTAGGAGGAAGGCCGTTCCAAGGACTCCAGTCGTTGCTCCAGTGCTCCATCCCACCAAGAGAAGTTCATCCACTCCTCCTGAATCCAGTCACCCTCTTCATCATCAGCATCGTCTAGGTAATCAGAATCAGATGAATCCCAAGCTACAAGCAGCCGTTTATTCGGATCCTTCGACGACACTCGGTAACTTCCGTCGAGAACATGTCGCGCCAAACCGCGCCCTTCATTCCGCTTCCGTCCTTCCTTCTCATCATCATCCTTCACCACCACCACCACAAGGCCATTATCGTCAACAACGTAACTCTTATCATCCTCTGAGCCCTCATCCATCCCAACCTAATAAAAATAATTACCCTCTGTCTCATAATCTTGATGGGCAACATCAACAACCGATCGTGGCTGATCAGCTGTCGACGGAGTTCGACAAACTTGGGCCCGCTGGATTCGCTATTAATGGGTCCGTCTTTCTTTCTTTCTTTCTCTCTCTCTCTTCTTCCTCTTTTCTTTTTAACTGTTGTTGATCTGTTTTGGTGTGCGTGTGTGTATAGGATTACGTCCATTATTCAGTTGTTGCATCAACAACATCAACAACAGCAACATCAACCATAAGAGACCTCATTCTTGCTCAATTTCTTATACATTTATTTGCATATTTCGCTTTGATCCTAACGTACTTGCACATGTAATCGAACACTACTTGCTCAGTTTGATGTGATAAACCCATCTCTGATCGTCGTCTTGAATATCATCTTAAGTTTTCACACTCATGTTCTCAAGTTTTCAAGTTTTTGTTGTTGTTCTCTTGGGGGAGTTAGTTGATTGATGTGAGGAAGCATTATCAGCTCCTTGTTCTGCTTGAGTTATCTAGTGAGATGTATGTATGTATCTAGACGTTTCTTGATTAATGAAATGAAGTTTTGTAGTTGAATAGATAAATGTGTAGACATGCTTTTTGTATGCAGGGGTTTTTTCCCCGGAGAGAAAGTTTATTCGGGGGGTGATGTGGTCTCCTGTTCCCCGGGGGGTGTGAGGGGGTTGAGGTTGATAAAGAGTGACGTCATGCTGTGATTATTGAAAATCTCAAGCACTCCCCCGCAGAAAAAAAGAAGGAAGGATGGCTGGAATAAGAAGACTGCTGCTGTTTACCACCCTACTCCTCTCACTATCCATCCTCCTCATCTTCTACTCATCATCAACAACCAACACGAACAACAGCTTGCCAACATCAGCATCATCATTGGCCATACAGGACAGACTCAAGGGATATCTGCCCAACAAGGAGACCCTCAAGACCTATGTACCCAAACCATTCAAATGGTCAAACTGGGCCACCTCCGATGCAGTCAAACTCGAAGATAGTCTGATTACAACCACTACTACCAACCAACAGCAACAGAACAGCAACAAGCACAACAATCAATCTACATCTCAGACCAACCAGTCCACTCTACCTACGAACTACCATCCCAACGGACTCTACTATCTGAGCCAACCACCGCCATTAGAACGCCATCCGATCCTGGATCTGATCGACAAAGCAGAACAAGAATGGGCCAACAAAGTCGCGAAAAGCTCGAGAAGTTTGGAAGAAGCCGTTGCGGAATATCGCCGGAGATACCATCAACCGCCCCCCTTTGGGTTCGAGAAGTGGTGGGAATATGCACAGAAAGAGGGGGTGATCTTGACGGATGAATACGACCAAATCGGCGCGGACATCAAGCCGTTCCTAGCCATCGAGCCCTCCGACCTGCTTCATCGCGCCTGGGTGATGGCCAACGAACGCCCAGAAACGTTCACCCTGACCATCAACTCTACTGCCCCCGTCTTGATCTCCGGCAAAGAAGGCCATCTCGCTCGCGCTAAGGATCTTGCTAAACTCATCAACCTCTTCGTCCATCTGCTGCCTCAGAACTCCGGCTCAATCAATCATCTCTTGAACCTCACGTTCACTAAACACGATCAACCCGCCGTCCAAATGACTTGGCCTCGGAAACAGAAAATGGTAGAGATGGCTGAGGCTGGTGAATGTGAGTATCACGTCCTTTCTTTTCTCTTCTCTCTCTTCTTTTTTTTTTTTTGAAAATGGTGGAACTGATTTGAATATATATATGTGTGTGTGTTTGATGAAGATTTTTTCGCCCTCGGATTATATAAGACCGTCGAACCCGAAGCTAAGCAACTGGGCGAATGCATGTCCGCCCGCACTCAGCCTTATACCGAAACGAGTCGAACCTCCCACCCCCTAGAGACGAATCTCCTCCCGCCC